CTGAAGGCAGTGGGTTAACCAACTGAGCCACCCAGGCGCTCTTGGGGTTGGGTTTAGTATCATTCGTTTGTTTAGAAACCTTCAACATTCCCTATTTGTTATACCCCACAAACTTTTACCTGGTCAGTCAGACCTTTTGATTTGGGATCTGGGAAAGCTTGGCAAGAGGATAGTCCAAGGCAGAGGAAGAGGCCCAAACAAAAAGGAAATTGAGAGAAGCCCAGCAAATGGCAGCTGGAAGCATTCTCAGGCAATATTTGTATTGTTCTTCTGCCTGCTGAGTGTGGCCTGACCCTTGGGGGCCCAGACGTGCACATACCGCAACCACCAATCTCTCCAGGAATCACGGAATGCGCAGTGCCCCTGTTATACCACACCCAGGCCTGCCACTCCCAGGGGATGCCCTGTGTCTGTTGGCAACCACTCAGTGACTGACGTGCTATGCTCCTGTCTTCTGGCAGGAAAACTGGAAGAGCCAGCTAAGCCTAAGAATGCACCTGTCCTGAAATGCTAATGGTAATTCCAGACATATCAAGCAGAGAGTTACACTTTTGGGGCCTTATCTCTGCCAAATGATCCATGGGTACTGTATTAAACTCTGTTTTTCAGAAGATGCTGCCCTGCTGTTGGTGCCTAACCCAGGGGGTATGAGTCAACAGGAATCTGGGTTCTGTGGGAAGAAAGTATTATGATAAAGGGAGACTTGGGCAGTACCATACAGCTTTCTCCTTTGTTAAACAAATACATTGACTGTCACCAGCAAGGATGCAGGAGAGCAGAGGGAAAGGGAAGCTCCAGAGAGATGGTAGGTTTTCTCCCAAAGGTGAAGCTCCTTTGTGCATTGAATGTGTCTTCTATTTCATGAGCACATGTCTTCCCCAGAGCTCCTCTCTCACTGTGGAATACAAGAGTGCTACACTGGAAACAACTACTTTAAGTGTACTGATAGTGGAGAATGTAAACTTATAGACTATTAGGTAATTACAAGTCCAGTCCTATTACTCACTTTACCTGGGGGTGAGTCTATGTCTAAGTGAACCTTTTATAAAAACCCATTTCCATTTCTCCATTGTCCCTCATTTCTTCACCTAATTTCATTGTCATTTATTTTGCTGTACCCTTTTTTTTTTTTCTCAGTAAGAAAGTAAATTCATTGTTATCTCCCTGTCATGTCCATCCTTTCCTATACCTTCCCAGGGGACGATCTCAATAACATCTTCACTAGGATCAGAGGCATCTGGCACATAGTCTCAAAACTTCCCTCATCCTTACTCCAGATTTTTTCTGTCACCATATTCTTTTCCTCTTTTTTCTTGGAGTAAAAAAAAAAAAAAATTTAAACAAGTTTCTTTAGCTAGCATTATAAGCTGGACTCTCCCCAGTTCCTGCCCCATTAAGGACACATTTCCTCCTATACTCCAAATTGTTCCTGCTCCAGCAGCTCTTCCTCTCATGGTCAAATCTCCACTTTCCTAAAAAAATTTTTTTTTTCTTGCTTTACCTCTTTCCTTTCACTTTTTGAATAAAGATTCCACACATTTTCTATTTCTAGTTATTATCACCTTCATTTTTCTCATGCCCTTGAAGGACATATTCCGCACCCATGAATATATGGAAACAACTCTTGTTGACCTAATTCTTGCTGAATCATTCACTACTGCCAGCCCATCTATGGTTCTCACTCTGTAATAATCTTCACGGCAGACCCTTCTGAATCATCCTGGTTGTGCTTCTACACTGGGTTACAAGCTTTTTTCATAACTCTTCCAAGCTAGAGCTTCCTCAGATTTCCTGAAAACCTTCCATCTCCATAATAAGTCCTCTTCCTTCTTCTCTACACATTTATTCTCTTTCCTTCTAGCAAGGAATCACTTCTATCATCTATGAATAGAGGTCTTTTCTTAAATCATCACAACCCCACACTACAAGTCATTTTCTGCAGACAACATCTGCAGATTTTTTTGATCTCCTTGGTAAAGATAACAATATATCTACATCCCAAATATGTGTGTGTGTGTGTGTGTGTGTGTGTGTGTGTGTATAAAATATTTGCATCCCAGCCAGAGATGCAGACATATTTTGGGAATTTATTTTTGGCTTATTTTTGATTTTCCTTTCTGATTTATGGGTGTCTGATTGTCATAGAGCTTCAAGGAAAAGTTGTTTCAGCTCATGGTACTTAGGATTCATAGTTAGCCTTTTGAAAACTGCTGTTTTCAAATTACCATGTACACATCATGGAGACACCCTTGAATTCTTGCACTACTCTGGATTTTCTCCTTCCTTCCTTGCATATTTTTTATATGTAGGGTGAAAGGGTTAGGACTGCCCCAAAAGTGAAGTGGGAGCCTCCGTGATGTATATGGATGTTTTCATTGTCCCCTTTTGTCTTTATACATATACATATCTCATATCTGTAGGAAATCTTTGGCCATGGGATATTTGAACAGGGTTTTTAGGAAGGAAGGGTCATGTTAGTGAACACTCTATCCCCAGCATGTAGATGAAGACACGTAGATGACTGCTTACTTTTGGTCAGATCAAATGGTGTGAAGCATCCTATATCCATCCACAGGATGTGTCCTACTTGCCTCCTTGAGAAATGACTATTCTTACGGATATAGGCTTTCAGAAAAAGATATTGACAGCCTTCCTCTTCAATCTATTCTTCTACAGATGGACTGTGGGGCTCGCCTGATGGACTGTGTGACAAGTCTCTCACAGTGTCCATTCAGCCCTGGGGGCAGAGGCAGCTCCCTTTATCTAACACAATAGGGTCAAAGAAAAGTCAGAGAGGGAGTTAGTCTCCCAGAAAGACCATGAGAACTCTCTTTATGGAAGGCCATAGATTCAAGTTTCAGTAATGTGGGTTTCTCTGAGGTAATAACTGCTAATAGCATATATTTCCCAGGGAAACTGAGTTAGGTTCCTTTGTACAACTCCCGAGAGAAGAGAGAAGGCAAAGGCAGGGACTGTGTCTATCTTGCTTACTTTGTGTCCTCTGACAGAAAGAAGTTCTCCCTAAATATTTGTGGAATTGAAATGTGGCCAAAGAAATAGGTAGCACTTGATAGTAGTACTAGGTTTTGGGGACTTAAGCAAATTTCTTATTTTCTTATATTATTTTCTGAAGAAAGTATCACATATTCCTGGGGTTGTGACTTAAGATTTTTCCCTGAGGCATTGTCAAGGAAGTTAGGAATTGGTAGAAATTGATCTCTGCTAAGAGATTCAGTGGTCGGATTGGAAAATCTCACCTTAGTACATTTAAGGGTTAGATGCTCTCCTAAAGAAAGCAGTCCTTTTCTTAAAGGCTCTAGCCCTAGCTGAAGCTGGCCATAAGATACTAGATTTGGTAGACAAGCAGACAATTCAGCTGTGACCACTGCTTTATTCCTCCCGGGATTTAATTACCAATGTACCTTTTTTGAAGATAGTTTCGCCAATTATGAAAAATGACCTCTTTGGATAATTACATAAATGTCAAATAGAAATAGCCTATAACCAGTATAAATGTTACTGCCATCAAATAGTTATAATATCGGCCTTTCAGCAATGTTTAGTGTACCCTCAACAGCTTTTTTTAAACCCAAAACATTTTATTTTAATCAAGAAGAAAACAAGGTATGTCACAGATGAAAATGACACACATATTTTTGTGCTTATTATTTAAAGAAAGGGGAAACATCTGAAATCTGTTTGCTAACTACAGTATAGTACAAATTAGCCTGCAGGCACCGTGTGTGCTGTACCCTGTCTGCTTGCCAGCCCTGCTTAGTCCCAACGTATTAATGAGCAAGTGCAAGTATTTGAACAATCAGCATTTCCGCATTTGCATGCAAACTCTCATGCTGTGTAATTATACACAGAGCTGGCACTCAAATTAATTAAAGCTGATTTCTCTGTGACTGCAAACTGGTCATATCCTCAGCTTTGCCTTCCTATGAAGTCATCACTCTACATTCAACGTGACACTTCTGTCCCTGGCATTCTCAGTAATGCTAATGTTCGACAACTGTGAATCCGGCAATATTTTAGATTGCAGCTGACAATGGCTGGGTGTTCTTGTGCTTTTCCTCTCCTCCCTATTTTTCTCCTTTCTGGTATAAAGATAAAGAACAGCTTTTGAACGCCTGCTTTGTAATTATCTCAAATAATAATGCAAACAAATTACATATATTGTTTCAGTCGGTTCCCTCCCTCTTTTATGACTCCACCCACTTGATTAGTGCTTACAAACAATTCATCAAACTTAAAAAATCTGTTTGTTTGATAGTAGCAAACAATTAGTTTTGATGGCTTTTGTCTTAATTTTGAAAAGGCTTTAACAAATGGTGTTTTATTTTCATAGATAAGGATCTCATAATTCAGGATCAGGAAGATTAGGAGAGAAAGAGGCAGGAATGACTGCTAGATTTGATTAAGACTTTTTGAATCCTCATCAAACACAGCAGTATTGCAACAGAGACTATTATTTGCCAAAGAGATCCATAAACGTTACCTTCTAGGGCACGGGCTTTCCTCAGCTCTTCCATAATAAAGCCATCACCCTTCGGTTTCTCAGTTCCTCAGAAGGAACTGTTTCTGTGACAATTGCTTTGAAAAGACATCCTTAGAGCAATTAAGATATCATTACGAGTCTCTCTTCCTAAATTTAAATCTCTGAATACAGGTGGCTACTAAAAAACACCATCATGTAGGGCCCGGGAGATGAGCTGCTTTGACACGTTCCTCTGAAATCACTCCTTAGCACTCAACTACGGCTCGTCCTCATTCCTCTGTATCCCATTAGCCAGAAACCGCACAGATAACTATTCGCAGGGGCTGGATGTCTCTTTTTAGAGCAAGCACCAAACAGTTCTGTCCCTCAAGTTCAAGACCCTGGAATACACTGCCAAGAAGATTGCCCTAGTAATCTACATTTGAAAGGAAAGATCAAGCAGGGAAATCCTTTATAATCAATCTCTAGTGATCAAACCAGGAGATATAATTGCCCTTACCTTATCAGTAGTACTTCTGGGTCCACATAGAACATCAGTTAGCAAGCTCCCTTCAAATTCCAGTTGGCATACAGGTGAGAAAGGAGCATTGAGTTTCTCCCGGAGAGGCTTCTGGGGAGATCACAGTCACTATTATTGTGATCCGAAGCCTGCCCTTCTGTCTTGTCATGAATTTCCTACGCAGACAGGTGTCATATTGGCATGAATTTCGTTGCCAAGTGCAGTTTAAGAGGTGGGCGTGGCTGTGATCATGTAGCCAGTTCCACCTGTCTCTAAACCCTCATAACCTCCATGCTTTCAAAATGTCGCTCAGGTCTTCTGTGACTTCATGAGTTACCCACGCACTGGGTCCGACTAACAGAGGTGTGGGAACAGTATCGAGTTAAGCAGCACTGTCATTGCAGTACACAATGCTCATTGCTACCGGCAAATACCTATTTGCTGAATCAGGATTGGGCTGCACTGAGCAGGACTAGGCAGTTCTACCGCTTTCTGTTTGTTTCCTTTTTAGAAACCATCCTCTCCTAATTAACCATTTAGCAAAAATAGATTCTTTTTGATGTTCATTCCCTAAAAATATAGCTTTTATAAGCATAGAGACTTACTATATTTTAACCTTTTTTTTTTAAAAGCAAGCACATGCAAAACAAAAGGCAAAGAAAACTAGAGTCCCCCAAACAATTAAAACGAACATGACCGCATATGTTGTACTTTCTGCTGTTAAACTTTCTGATAGCAAATAAATACATTTGTTAGTTATGATTCTTTAACTTCTTATGGGAGAAGGATAATAGGAGAAATGTTGTGTAAACCTTGTAAGAAAAGGGAATCCTTTACATCTTAAGGAATAATAGACAGCTGGTACTCAAAAAAGTTTTTTTAATTACTGGTGGTATTTTTAAAAAGTTGATTGACTACACATCTCCTTTAGGTGTATGTATAAATGGAATTCAGGTTTGCGAGTGACTAGATAAGATTTTAGAAACTTGACAGCGTTACATGTTTTATTAATCATTGTAAGTATAACATGATCACAACAAAGTCTAGAAAATAAGGAGCTCAATAGATGTAAATGGCATGTCTTTGAATTACAGTTTCTACCCATTTTATCAGTGTACTCTGGAAGTGGTGGGCTGTTAATTTTTTAGACTCCTCAATTCCTCGGTGACATTTAAATCAAGAAAACTCTTTTTCCTTTTTGTTTGGGGGTGGGGGGAACTGATCTAAATTCAAATATCAAAGTATGGCCCAATATCCTATCCAAACCAAACATTTCTTATGTAATTTTGCCTTTTCTTCAACCTGCCCACCAGCTAGCACAAAACTGACAGGTACATAATGAGATTTAACAGATTTTTGCTAAGTAAATAGTGGTACATTTAAAACTGTGTATGTGGACATTGTAAATGATAGAAATCAACTAACCTGCAGACTCTTGAAGGTTTCCTTCTTGTACGGGGCTTATGCAAGGTTTGCATATAAACGCGAATGGTAATCATTCTCTAAATAAATTGAAATTAAATAACTTTGACGAGAATACATTAGTAAGTCTAAGATGATCCATTCTGATTTTAGATAGAGATCTTCCTTATTTTGACCAATATCTTCCTGAATTGTCTATTCTTTGGTATGATTTTTTTCTGAGGCTTCGCGAAGCTTTGAGGATAAATTTAATCCCTATTCCGCATGAAAGTTATTCAACTATTTGAAAAATGGCTATCATTTTTCCCTAAGTCTACTCTTTTTTCAGTCGAACATTCCTTTAATCATTCTAATATGAGATGGCTTTTAAGGTTTCTCACCATATGGGACAGATTCCAGTTTGTCCATGTCTCTTCTAAATGTGACATCAGAACCGAATGCATTACTTGAGACATCGTCTAATTATGCAAAGTACATGGATATTGATGCCTGCCTTGTTCTGCCTTCTATTTCTAATAATTTAGAATTTTATGAAGGCAGGAAATGCATTCTGAGGAGGGGTTGGCATCATTATCACACTCTTAGTTCTTGAATTTTTAAAAAATGAAAAAGTTTAAGTATTTTCATACCGAATTCTTTCCATTCCAGCCTCTTGGGACGTGTTCTTACTGTCGTTGAACTTTGGATGGAAATAGACTTTATATCCATCCATACTAGAGCTCACATTTGGTACCAGCCATTGTTCTAATTCCTTGAGGCATTTTTGAATCCCGATTTTGCTACCTGATGTCTTAGTTACTATATTTTATGTTGTGTCATTTTTGGAAAGACATCTGCGTGGCTACTATGGGTCAGGCACTATGTCAGGCAGTGATGATACCAAAGGCAAGGAGACATGGTCACTTTCCTGAGAAAGCTCACAGCAAAACAAGGACACTGACAATATAATTATTATGCCTTCCATGTTTTTTTTGAAATCACTAGCAAAAAAAAAAAATGATAGTACAATTCTCAGAGATCTCTCTTCAGATTGACAACACTCAATCACCCTTAGCTCATGAGAATAAAATGTTAACACCTATCATTTTTATTGAGCACTTGTGTAAGGATAGGTAAAAAGCACTTCATGTACATTATATCATTTAAAAAGCACAGCATCTTTGGGATGTAGATAGCTTTAATCTCTCACTACAGTTGAGAAGATTTAGGCTCAAAAAGTTTATGCAACTTGCACAAATTGACATAGCTGGTAAATTGCAGGGCTTTACTTTGAACTGCCAAGGTTCCGTGACTGCAAATTTCATTCTTCATCACTCTTAAAGAGGTAATTCTGTCATTCTTGGAAACTTTCTAACTATACTACAAACTAATCTAACGTATCTTCTAAGAATGCATGAGAATTTTGATTAAAGGACTTGCCAAAATTCAGTTATACTTTTTTTTTCTTAAGAGTAAAAGTAATATATTTTACCCGGAGCTATTTTGTTCTTAATGAACCCATATTGATTTTTTTTTAATATTTTATTTTTTTTAAGATTTTTATTTGTTTGACAGAGAGAGAGAGAGAGAGCACAAGCAGGAGGAGTGGCAGGTAGAGGGAGAAGGAAAAGCAGACTTGATCCCAGGACCCTGAGATCATGACCTTAGCAGTAGGCAGATGTCCAACTGACTGGGCCAATCAGGTACACCGAACCCATATTGATTCTTAATAGTCACTGACATTGTCTCAAAATGCTCACTTTTACTTTAATAATTTTGTCCGAATTTTGCTAGAGAGTGATGTCGAACTCACTGGTTTGCAGTTCACAGAATCAATCTTTCCTTTCTAATAAAATCAGATCAGTATAGACTCATCTTCAGTTTTCTTGATTCTTCCCTATTCTCCATGATACCTCGGAAATAATTGGTAGAGGTTCTATGAACACATCTGAAATTCTTTCTTTCCTGAGCACACCAGAACGTATTTATGTAGCTATCTGCTTCACCTTCTTGGGGTTCGTTTCCTGAAAGTGAGCTCTTGAAAGTGAAGACTGAATTGTTCTGCACCAAGTTTTATATGTCGAACACACTTTTAAATATTTGTTGGGAAAAAATTGACATAGTGGAGAGGGAAAAAAGCTCTACAATCTTGTTTTATATAAAAGAAAAAAGACCCCTATGTTTTGCCTTCTTGGGAGGAGCAACATTAATATCACACATAAATGGTTCTTTTGTTAAGGGGAAAAAAAAAACCAACTAGAGAAATCTGTATGAGATATTCAAGTTGAGAAAGTCAAGGTCCTTTTGGACATAGCCTGATGGGCAACATTAGCTAACAGGAGGGCTAAATTTCCCTATAATAAATGATGAACAATTTGTCAGTCTGGGACATGGGACTTGGACATGGGCAGAAGGGAAGAGATATGAAAGTGTAGTGGTGTGAGGGGCTTCCCAAGACCATGGCAGAAAGGCCAGAACACAACAGAAGAACACAGACAGGGAGGAATTCTGAAGCTGCTTACACGCAAATCTCAAAACATGGCTGTGCTGGCCCAAGAGGGGACTCAGAAATGATAATAGAGGACAGAATCCTTTTCTTCACGACAAGGGATGATCCCAATTTTATAAAGTGAAAAAATACCTTTGAAAGAGGAAAGACCTTCTTTGGGGTAACATTAATTATTCTAGTTTGAGTGGATATTAGAAAATAATAAATCTCTTATATTCTATAATAGTCTATTGATATAATTTTCCCTAATTGTACTTTTACTACACTGTATTTTGAAGAGTTGCATTAATTCTTTCATGGAGTAGTATATATTTTTATTACATAGAAAAGTCCAAGATTATTTCTGGTATGTAAGCAGAGAATGAAAGGAAGGTATGTCATCCAGAGAATATCAAGTCCTCTGATACGAAAGGCTCTTAAAAATATTATTTTACTCTAGCTAGAAAAGACTAAAGCATCATTATAATATGAATTTCACAGAAATAACCAAAAAACTGTCAGGAAAAAAAAGGCTTTTTAAGACCATTTTCCTCCAGAAGAACAGTGTATGTGTGTGCATACACATATAATATTATTATCAATATTCCTAAAATATTCTTAATAAAACCAATGTTTAATAATAAAACTAATTCTGATGAGGAGTATCAATAATTTATATATTATATTATTAAAAGAGATATGTGTATATATATGTGTAGGTGTGTGGCAAAGAAAGATTCACAATTTTTAATCAGCTCGAAAGTAAAAATTTATTGCTGAGAATGTTTCTCTTTGGTAATATGCAGTATTGGAAGCATCAGCACAGTAGTATTATGCTAATGCATTACAGCTGGAAGATGAACCTCGCTGAAAAATTCAAGAAACTGAATACTGAACAGTTAGTTGCAGAAGGGCAATTATGAGACCTGGTCTGGTTTCATTATCCAAGATGAGTGAGAATAAAATGCAAAACTGAAACATAAATGATGCAAAGCATATTAGGTATTAGATTTCTTTTTTGTTTTAATTATCTAAGTTTTCATTAATAAGTGCTTTGAAATATATGATCTTTTCTTTGATGCTGCCTGTTTCAAAGCAACATATTATATGGGGTTCTACTGCATTATATTATAATAATTCTAATAGCTAACTTTTTTCTTACTATATGCCAGGTATTGTGCTAAACACTTCATGTACGTTATCTTTTTTATTGCTGCAATTTATGAAGTAGATAATAGTATCATCTCCTTTTAAAAGCAGGAGCAACTGAAACACAGAGAAGTTAAGCAACTTGTCCAAGGTCACATTGTTAGCAAATAATTGAGCCAGGACAAAACTCATGTAGAATGTGGGGACTGTACACTGCTCAT